ACCCAACCCCACCTCACCCACCCGCAGTCACCAACTTTCACCCCCATCACTCCCCTCACCTCAGCACTCTGCTCCCTCCCTCAGTCCCCCGAAACCCCCCACCACTAGCCCCGCCCTGCTCTCCACAGGGCCACGCCCCCTGCCCTTGGCCCCGCGGCAGCCGCACCCACCGAGGCCCCGCCCTGCCCGCGGGGCTCCCCCCTGTTGCCGGGTAACCGGCCGGGCCGCTCTCCCAGGCTCCGGGCTCGCAGCGTGGGGGGCTCCTGGTCTGGTGCCGCGGGCACCGCCTCGGTGACTCTGTAGCGGGGCGGGGATGCTGCTGCCCGGGGCCGCATCCCGCTGCCGCCGGGGCTCCTCTTGCTCCTGCTGCAGCCGCCCGGCACCTCCCAGTCCCCTCCCGCCGCAGCCGCCCGGGAGTTGAGCCCCGAAGCTAGCGGCACCATGAGCAGGAACCAGCCCCGCTGGGGGCACCGGGGTACGTGTGTGAGAGCGGGGGAAGGGGCAGCAGGGCCTTAGGGGAGACTGGGGGTGGGCTGGGACCGGGGGTAGGCAGGAAGGTTGTGAGGCGGAGAGCGACCGGGGCTCTCGGCGTAACGCGTTCAGTAGCCCCGTCAGCACAACGCCGCGCCCGGTTCTAGGGCGGAGACTTCCAAGCGTGCGGGGAAACCTCCGCCCTGAAAGGCTTTTGATTCGGAAACGCTCACTCTTGGCGAAACTGACTTGCTTTCAGTCCCCTCTCAAGCAGCTCTCTAACAAATCAGTCACATTCTATTGTCTGAGCCTTCTGTTTTACCCCTCCCTCTTCTCCCGGAAGCCTGGGTCTTCATCCAGCTCTGCCTGGTCATATGTACCGATATTACTTGTGGAGTGGTATAAACCACACGCTACTTCTGTGTTTGAACAGCTCATGACTGCAAAATGCTGTAAACATTTTTTATGAAAGACACAACAAATAAAATGTAGCACTAAAATACAGTACTTTATAGACCCTGACCTTTCAATATAAGTAATGTTTGAGTGATTTTTATAAGATTTCAAAACATCTTGCTTATTATAATGAGGAAAATTCAAGGAAGATGGGAAACAAAAAGGGGAGGAAATAGAAGAACTTGTTTCTTTCCTACGCTGATTCTTTCAAAACATCTTCATTTCAAAGGCATAAATAATTACCTGCAAACAACATTGCATCACACAGTTTGTGAGGCTCTGAGAATATTCAACAGACAGAACCTTGGGACTTTGGCTTTCCAATTAGTTTAGCTGCATCATGGAAATGATGTTCTTATTTCCAGAGTGCTCGCAGAATTTCTAATAGGTTGTTTCCTGTTAGTAAAGTAAGTTACTAGTACGTATACACGCACTTTAGAAAACTAAGATACTGCAACATAAATGTTAAATAATAATGGCCTGTGTTCTGATGCACCGTTATTACTTATGTAAAGGATAGTGTCATCAAATATTTTAAGCACAGAATTTACATTTTCTTTAGGAAAAAATATAAACTCTACTCATAAAAAAAGGGAGATCAGCAGGGACTCCAGTATCAATTTATTACCAGGGCAGTGATTAGGATGGCAGAACTTATGTGTGTACCAGAACATTAAGCAGAAGAAAATGGGGTTGTGAAAAAGACACTTATTTAAACTTATTTAAAATTAAAGACACAGAAATTTGATAACTAACAAAAGTGGTATGCAGTTATGAGTTATTGAAATCTGGAAACATAAATCTGTTTTATAAATCTTATTTATTTTTAAAATATACCCAGACTGAAAAAGTCTTTAAAAAAGACATACTTTCAATAAAATCAGGCCATTTCCTGCTATTGACTTTTAAGCAGAACTCCTTATTGACTTAATGGGGAGTTCTGATTAAAAATAGTGAGATTTAATTATAAAGTGCCTTACACACATGCAATTTATACATTTATATAGAACCTTTAATCGTGAAGGATCCCAAATTGCTTTACAAACTGCACATAAGAATCACACCAACCACAGCTAAAATACAAACAGCTCAGTGGTGAAACATGACACCTGTTCAGCAGTGTATAGCACTCTACACAATTTAGAACAGGAAGTAAAGAGTACCCAATCCAGTTGAAAATTCAGAGAATTGGATAGGAAGTTGGAATTTGGCCAGGACATTAGGGCTAATACTAACTCCAAGGAAACAAATCCTATCAATTCATTTATATTAAAGGCTGTGGTAGAGCAAATTGGTGACAAGGTAATTAAAAAAAATTGTGTGAGATTTTTGCTGTAAACGGTAATTAGAGTTTGTTTACCATTTTCTTTTGGTATTATACATAGGAACTTGGTTTTCTTGATTTTAAATATAGTTTTATCACTTTTTGTGTTGCAGAATCATATGTAAAAGACATTAAATACCCAGAGTCATCATTCCTCTCTGAATGGTAAGTCTGTTAATATGGCATGTGACATAAATGTGTACAGTATTCTCTCACAAAATAAGTATTTTTTTAAAAAGTAGGGATAATTTTCTTTGTAATTGGATTTACCAATAGCCTACTCTAACTATGCTTTGATACCAGAATAGGTTAAGGAGAATATGGGGAGATTGGTTCATGAAAGGTAGAAATTGTCTTTTTCTGAACTTATCAAGCTATTGGTTGTGTTACAGAACATTTATAAGTTCAACGTGTGAGGCCGTCTTTTGTCCTGAAGAAGAGAGAGATTGTATGAATATCCAGTTGTCATATATGGTTCTCCTTTCATGGGTAGAAAGGAGAATTGTGTATATCATTTATGCCATATTTGGACTTTAGCTAAATAGAATACAGTGCTATACTGTCTGGTTCTCATTCTTTTCATGAATGTGAGGTATGGTATGTGTCTTCTCCTACAATTTGCTGTTCTAAAAATGTAATCCTAAACATTTAGGATCTTTTATAGAGATGGCTGGTACCTTCTTGATTTTTGATGGCTCTGCAGCCCAAAGATTATGTTGGTTTTTTTGCTTCAAAATTGCAAAACAAATGGGTATTCAATTAACTATTATTCCTACGAGTTACAATCCACCAGAAGTATTAGGTCACAGAAAAAATTTATTTTTATGTTTGACATTTAAATATGCTAGTGAATTATTTTCCTCTGTGTATAACCTTGGGGAGAACTGCATCCCTATCACAATTTTTGGTCATGACTATACAGAGCAAAAACCTTTTTTGTAATCATTGAAGACTATGCAAAAATCATCTAATTGAAGTTCCTTGTATTTTGTGAAAAATTCTGAAGTTCAAAATGAGTTTGAGGATTTTTTCCCGTTAAACATGGCATTTTGTTTGTTATTTTTCACACACACACACACTAAACCACTGTGCTCTTGAATCACTGACAACAAAATCTAATTTGAATGATGCTGTTCTGCCTTATGGAAATAGAATCTATAAAATAAATTCCTTCCAGGGTTATCCTTAAAAAATACATAATTGGAAGAACACAATGTTTATTAAAACATACAAGAAAATCCTCATGTATGTTGTTGCCTCACCCTCTAGGCAATTTTTTTGGAGATCTAGTAAGGTGATTAGAAAATCACTATTTCTGACACTTCTGACTTAAAATTCCAACCACAAGTAAGAGATGGCATGACATAGTTCATTCCAGAAACTGCTCATTTCAAGGCTGGTGAGATTGCTTTCAGAAACTGAACTGCCTTAATAATATCTGTTTGCATTCCAGTGGGTGATTCTGTTCCACATCACTAAGAACTTAAAGAATTTCTTGACATTATGGGTTTTTTAATAGCTTTTCTTTTCATTAACCTAAACAATTTTCCATTAACATACCAGTGTTACATCTGTTTGTTTAATGTCTGAAAGGATGATGTAAAACCACTGTAATGGTTCCTATACTGGTATCCCTCCATCCGAGGCCACCCCTCCCAACAGAGGGGCATATTGTTGAGGCAGCCGTACAATATTCCTGGTATCAGAACAGCCCATTGGAGTCATACGAAACCAGTGTAAAATACCAATTAACCACTGTCAATTCTACTTCCAAGTACACCGCTACCCCGATATAACGCGACCCGATATAACGTGGTAAAGCAGTGCTCCGGGGGGCTGCGCATTCTGGTGGATCGAAGCAAGTTCAATATAACACGGTTTCACCTATAACGTGGTAAGATTTTTTGGCTCCCGAGGACAGCGTTATATTGAGGTAGAGGTGTATTGCAGAGTAGTGGACGGTTATCCAAAAGGCCTCAAGATCTGAGACTGGATACAAAAGTGTCAAAGCTATATTTACCACTCTTCCCCTCCAAGCTGTGCTGAGCACCTGGATCATAGCATTGGGGTTTTGTTGTTGTTGTTTGGTTTTTGAATGTAAACAAATTATTACAATATCAAACAAAGTAATAAAACACAAACTATAGCCTTCGCTTATTAATAGATACCTTTCCTAGCTAAGAACTACTAACTGTGGTATGTAATCTATCGTTTAAATCAGCCTCTGTACCAAATAACTGAGGATAGCTAGTGTAACCCTGCTTTTAAAAAGCAGCCTTTTAAAAGCCTTTTTAAAGCCTTTTAAAAAAAGACTCTAGAAACTATCCTGGTAATTACAGATCAGTAAACCTAACTTCAGTACCAGGCAAATTGGCTGAAATGAGAGTAAAGACCAGAATTATCAGACACACAGATAAACACGATATGTTAGAGAGGAGTCAATATGGCTTTTGTAAAGGAAAATCATGCCTCACCAATTGACTGGAATTCTTTGAAGAAGTCAACAAGTATGTGGACAAGGATGATCCAGTGTACTTGGACTTTCAAAAAGCCTTTTGACAAGGTCCCACACCAAAGACTCTTAAGCAAAGTAAGCAGTCATGAGACAAGAGGGAATGTCCTCTCATGGACCAGTAAATGGTTAAAAAGTTAAGAAACAAAGGGTAGGAATAAATGGTCAGTTTTCATAGTCAGGAGAAGTAAATAGTGGGTTTCCCCAGGGATCTGTACTAGGACCAGTGCTGTTCAACATATTCATAAATGATGTGGAAAAGGGGGTAAATCATGAGGTGGCAAAGTTTGTAGATGATACAAAATTACTCAAGATGTTTACATCCAAAGCTGACTGCAAAGAATTACAATGGGATCTTACAAAACTGGGTGACTGGGCAACAAAATGGCAGATGAAATTCAATGTTGATAAGTGCAAAGTAATGCACATTGGAAAATATAATCGCAACTCTATATACAAAATGATTGGGTCTAAATTAGCGGTTACCAGTTAAGAAAGAGATCTTGGCGTCATCATGGATATTTCTCTGAAAACATCTGCTCAATGTGCAGTGGCAGTCAAAAAAAGCTAATACTATTAGGAACCATTAGGAAAGGGATAGATAAGAAGATGGAAAATACCATAATGGCACTATATAAATCCATGGTATGCCCACACCTTAAATACTGAGTGCAGTTCTGGTTGCCCCATCTCAAAAAAAAATCTATTAGAATTGGGAAAAGTACAGAGAAGGGCAATAAACATGATTAGGGGTATGGAACAGCTTCCATATGAGGAACAGTCCAGTCTTTTTAATCTCTCATCTTAGAAAAGAGACAACTAACGGGGATATGATAGAGGTCTATAAAATCATGACTGGTGTGGAGAAGTAAATAAGGAAGTGTTATTTACTCTGTCACATATCACAAGAACCAGGGGTCACCCAATGAAATTCATAGGCAGCAGGTTTAAAACACATTAAGATGTACTTCTTTACACAACGCACAATCAACCTGTGGAACTCGTTGCCAAAAGTGAAGGCCAAAAGTACAACCAGGTTCAAAAAACAATTAGATATGTTTGTGGAAGATAGTTTCCCCTCCCTGGTTAGCCAGGATAGTCAGGGATGCAACCTCCAACTGCCAGAAGCTTGGACTGGACAACTGGATGGATCAATCAATAATTGCTTTGCTGTGTTCATTTCCTCTGACGCATCTGGCACTGGCCACTGTCAGAAGACAGGATGCTGGGCTAGATGGACCATTGGTGTGACTCAGTATGGCCGTTCTTATAAAGTAGGTTTCCCCCTTAAAATTCAGTTTGTTACAGAGCTGGCTGGCTTCACAGGAACAAGAATCCAATCTTTCATGAAAAATACCCCTGCTCAACAAGATGTCTCGTCAATGAATGGATCCAGAGTGCCTCTTTCCGCTTTATGTTATACTGTAACAGTCTTTTGTCTTTATTCATAGAGGGCAATCTTTTGTCTGTTACATTGTTTCTTTTTCACCTCCAAGTGGTTTCATTTGATTGTAGTTCTATCTAATCAGTTTCCATTGACTGTTCTGTAATGGGGCAATGGTAGACAGTTGAGCTTTGCATTACATCACTGGCTAACCAGGGAGGGGTGGCAATTCCCTCCTGCATGAATAGACTGACACTCCTGGTGACTCCTTTTAACATTAAGACCAAAAGGGTATACACTTAAGTCTAGTTACGTCATCATCACTCCCATAACTGCATTGGTCGTTGGGGCACCATCATTGATGAGCAATCAATCAATTGTCTCCACCTCTGACGATTGTGTGTCTGTGCTTGAGTCTCCACGAAGTCCATTCCTGTCCACTCTTTTATGTTGTCAATCCATCTCTTCTTCTGTCTACCTCTTCTTCTCTTCCCCTGTACTGTCTCTTGGAGGATGATCTTGGATAGGCCAGATGATCTTGTTACATAGCTGTACCACTTCAGCTTGCGCTTCTTCATGGTCATCAGGAGGTCTTCATATGACCCAGTGCATTGGGTGATGATGTTGCAGACCTCTTCATTAGTGACATGGTCGAAGTAGGAGATGTCCAGGATTTTCATCTGACTCTTGGCTGCCTGCCAAGAAAGAGGGGGGCCTGGAATTCACTGGTCAGCCGTAAGAAAAGAAGATGCAGCTGAGCAGACCTGCAGAGGCAGCCCATAACGAGCAAGACAAGTGAAGACCAGCATGGAGGAAAACAAAGAGGACAACAAAGTCTAGCCGATGTGTTTTGGGAAAGTTGAGGAGACCACAGAGAGCCAGTTTGGACTGGTACAAAGAACACCAGGAACATAGGTCGCGGCATGAAACACCCCCAAAGGCACCCTGGACTTAAAAACCCTCCTGAGAGCTGGAGCAGTTCGGAGATCGCAGTGGACCCTGGACGACTTGGGCCCAGGACAGAACTCCCGTTCATCCTTCCCCCTCTTCTTCTTATGTTATACCCAGGCTTGGCCAGCCTAGGGTAGAGCGTGTGTGAGTATGAAAGTGGGTTAGGACTTGGGGCACTAATGCTTTCTTCCTTCCTCTGAATGACGTGGGGAGCACCCCTCACTCTCCACTGTTATTGTATTATTTTACTAATAAAGCTTTAAACTTAGACCCTTTGTGTGTTTCATCATCTCCTCCCTTAAAGATCCTGTGGCTTCA